ACAGTAAGTGCCAATGGCGGCACGAGGAAGCACACAACAAGCACAACTCCAACAGCAACTTTCAGGAGTACACACCACCTCCACGATTCAGTGGAGAATGCACCACATTCGAAGAATGGAAATACAAGATGACAGCATACCTCGGCTTGCAAGAGTCATCATACAACAGACGACTGGCACAAGCCGAACAATCAGCACAAGCAATCACAAGCGATCAACTGGAACAAGCCGCACCAGATCAGGACACAGCAGACAAATGGCTACAACTCAGTGGAGACCTACACTTCCTGCTCGTCAACACATGTGACGGAGCAGCGTCAACAATATGCAGACAGAACATGCTCGGCAATGGTTTCGAGACATGGAGACAACTCCACCTACGCTACGCGCTACCACTTGGTACAAGAAGCATTGGTTACCTCACCAAGCTACTCAAACCACAACTAGATGAAAACAAGTTCGAGGAGAGCTTTGCAACATGGGAGTTTCAACTCGCCAAGTACGAACAAGACAGCAGAACACTACTACCGGATGCAATCAAGATTGCAATCCTGCTCAACGAGACAAAAGGCCCGCTACAACAGCATTTGCAACTACAAGCAGGCAACGTTACAACCTATGCACAAATCAGATCATTGGTTGTGGAGTACCACAGAGCAGCATCACAATTCGTCAAACCACAAGCGGCCACGAGCAGTGACAATCAAGGTCCAACACCAATGGACATAGGAGCAACATGGTACAACAAAGGAAAAGGCAGGAAAGGAAAAGGAAAGAACAAAGGAAAGTACAACAAAGGACAGGGCTACGGCGGCTACGGCAACTACAACAATCACAAAGGAGGAAAAGGAGACAACAGATACAATCAGCCGATAGGGCAAGGAAATCCGTTCAAAGGCGGATACAACAACAGAGGAAAAGGAAAAGGATACCACAAAGGTAAAGGATACAACAACTACAGCAAAGGAGGCAAAGGAACAAAAGGAAAGCAAGCCACAAATGTGTGCTACAGATGCGGACAACCAGGACACATGGCAAAGCAATGCAGAGTGGCCATCTACAACTATGACAACAACAACATGGAAGACAACGGCGTTACAGATGACTGGTACCACAGCAATCGCTACGATGGAAGCTGGGACCACATTGACCAGACACAGTTGCATTCCAACCAACAACAACTAGCACTACAACAAGGCAATGAACAGATGCCTTTAATAGTTTTTGGACTTGAAGAAGTGATCATTGCTACAGCAACGGCGCAACAACAAGAAGGCACAAACAACAGATCTCATGCTCGATAGTGGTGCAGCTACACATGTCTGTCCAGCATGGTTCGCAACAGAGTCACAAGCACAACCACGACCACAGCTGAGGACAGTGACAAACCAGCCAATCAAGCTACACGGACACAAATGGGTTTGCGTGAACAACATCAATGGACAACGCATTGTCATGCCGTTCTGTGACATCAAACAGCCCATACTATCAGTGACAAGACTGATAGAACAAGGATTTCAGATTGTGCTGGATGACAACCCAAGGATACACCACGATTCGACAGCAGCATCACACGGTCACATGGACTACTCTTCCTACAAGCAGAGATCACAACACTGCCACAAGGAACAGAATTGAAAGTAGACAACACGGAACAAGGACAGGTGGCCGTGATAGCACCAACAACCGCACTGACACCTCAAGGAGCACAGCACACAGGATATGCAGGAGACTACTGGCAATTCAACAGCCAAGGAGAGCTCGTCAGAGTACATCGGCATTACAGGAAGACAATGCTCACACCAACACGAACACAGTGCCCGGTTTCAACAGATAGACTTGAGAACTGCAGAAGAACAACGATCAAAGGAGAGAACGGCGCAACAAGGACAATAGAGGATCGATACCAACATCTAGACAATCCAAACCAGGCACAGCCAACACTATGGAAAGGAGAGACAGTGTTCAGGCTGAAGAAAGGTACAACACTGCCAGACACATTACAACAACAACTGGCAGCAAGACAACAGCAATCTCAGCAGAAAGAGATCACAACATCGAGAGTCACACCACAAGTCATACAATACAAACCACAAAGGAGGATAACAGGAAAGCAACCACCACAAGCAATACAACAGCAGCAGACAGAGACGACTGGGACAGGACAAGGAATCCCACATCCATCCGAACTACAACCCGGTGGAGACTACTGGTACAGAGAAGGACCATACTGGAAGCGAGTTCACGTACAACCACGCACAGCCTATTACATACCAGAGCAAACAGATGATGGGCCGGACATTTCTAAGCTGAGCGCGTACAGGCTGACAAAGATACGACCAACAGCAGGAGGAAGCATCAAGCTAGCACAGGACGAATGGGCAACAGAACAATCAAAGACACACGACACATGGACAAACTTCGAAGAACAAGAGCAGCGCCCGGCGCAACTGGAATCAGACGACGAAGAACAGCAACAAGGAAGAAAGGCTCGAGCAGCACAAGCGCCAAAACAGCCTACACCACAAGAGCTGCTAGAACACAACGTGACACACCTTCCATACAGGAGCTGGTGTCCAACATGTGCACAGGCTCGCAGTCGGGCAAACAATCGCCCGAAGCAACAGAGCACAATGCCAGTCAAACAACTGGACTTTGCGTACCTAAAAGGCTTCGACGACAGCAAGGTACGTCCGATACTCACAGCAATCGACATACAATCAGGCATGATGGTGGCGCTACAACTCTCAGAGAGGCAACGACTCTTTGACTACGCAGTACAACAGCTACAGCAGTTCTTGGTAGAACGCGGCAGAACAACACATGTGATATTACAATCAGATCAGGAAGACTACCTGGTCGCACTTACAAAGGCAGTGGCAAACACAATGGGGAACATAACCACACGCACTTCACCGGCATACAGTTCACAATCACAAGGAGGCGTAGAGCGAGCGCACCGCGCACTCTTCGGACAGATACGAACACTGAGAGCACAAGTCTTCCAGAACTACAACAGGACAATCACCATGAAACACCCCATCATGCCATGGATAGTGCGACACAGTGCATACATCGTGAAGATACGCCACACACGCAAACGGATTCACAAGCTTCTACAACAGATGGCGCAAAGAGCAACACACTCCACTGTGTGAATTTGGCGAAACCGTACAACACATGGTCTCGTCAATAAAACAATTCCCAAAGCTAGAACCACGCTTCTTCAATGGAATATGGCTTGGGAAGGACACAACAACAGGCGATCAACATGGGACCATGGAATACACCAGCATCGGCACTCACTACGCCGACAATGCCGACGACAACCACGCCGACAACACTGCCATTACCACAACGACGACAGCAGGCAGCAAAACAACACAAGGATGCAACCACGAGCGCATCATCAGATGGCAAGCTCAGTACATGCGAACAAAAGGATGAAGGCTCGCCAAAGAAACAACAGAGAACACAGGAACCTACATCGCCGATGGCAACAGCTCCACCAATGACACAACGGCCAGCGTTGCCAATGCCTACATCATCAACAAGACCACTACCTGATGAAGTTACAGAAGGCAGCGCAAGCAAACAACAGAAGACAGCAACAAGAGCATCAGTAAAGGAGAGACCCACTACAGGAGAACAACCGCAACGCAAGATGAGGATTAATGCAATGACAATCAACACACGGGATGGCAAACGCGTCGAGACAACATCAAATGAGGATCCACCGGAGATAGAAAATGAAAGGATACTACTGGAACCCATACTACATGGATCAGAAGGACTGGATCCAACAAAGGTAGCAACACAACAGGATTTGTTATACATTTCCTGGGAGCTACAATTCACTATGGAAGCAGAACACAAGCAACAATAGCCCTGTCATCAGCAGAGTCAGAGCTATACGCAATTGGTACAGCTGCGCGAGAAAGCATCTACATCAGCAACTTCGTCAAGGAAGCTTTGGACACAAAGGCCAACATCAGAACTCACACAGACAGCAGCTCGGCTAAATCAATAGCCATGAGAGAAGGTACATCAAAGAAAGCAAACGATACCTTTTCATGCAACACTGGTCAAGAACAAGGTCATCACGATGTGCAAAATAAGGTCAGAACACAACCCCTCAGACATACTGACAAAGTTTGTCTCAACCGACACACTCCACAGACACCTGTGCAAGGTAGGCTTGCTCAGCCAACCTTGACAACAACAAGCGCGACAACAACAAGAGTATTGCCCACAGTCTGCGCTTTAAAGTTTGCGCTGTATGTTTAAACATCAGTTGCACAGGTCACGCACTTTTGTTTTACTACATGTCAGCCGGCTAAACCACCTTTTAGGGTAGCTAGTTCCATGGAACTACCCGTGCGCCTTTTACTCTACTTTTGGGTACAACTACGACCCCGTTTTGCGACACAATCTCTTGACTGCGTTTTTACACGACAGCTTGACAGAAGTTTAAATACATGGTTCATCACTGCAGCCATTTACATCGGTCTTGTACAGCTAGAAGGAGACACATCGCCAGGTCAACAATGGCTCATCGTGCTTACAAGTCCATCCATGAGCCCATGGCCGTACCGGATGGTTTTACACTGGAGCCTACAAAGGGCAACCCAGCTTCTGAGGAGCCAAGCGACTACACCACCGTGCTCATCCCGCTTACAACGGAACAGGCCAAGTTCATGACTACAGTTGCAACCAAGGAGGCGCACAGAGTCGACAAGATTCCCGGCTACATGCGCGCCCTTACACTTGGTTTCATCGGCGTGTTCTACAGTTACAGCATCAGGGACGCTGTGGGATACATGAGTTGGCTTATCCACAGTGGCCATGACAGTACAGAGGACATGAGCAATTGCTACACCTACCGCGTCTCGCTGCACACAGCTGAGATCTTGCAGCGTGTGTACGAGAAGAACATTTCCATTTTCAACCGCGGGTACATTGGACTTGTGCTACAGCTACATGAACGCCACACCTGGGTCATGACAGAGATCGAGAGGAATACAGGCACGTTCTTTCGCATCGGTGGCGACATTCGAAATTTGTATCGAAGCTACAACTTGGAAAATGGCTACATGGTGTTACAGCACATTGTCATCAACATCGAGCAGATGTTGGGTGTGGAAGACAAGTTTGACAGGCAACATGCAGGTTTCTCCATGGCCATCAACCAGTACACCTATGCTGCGACACAGGCGGTGCCTGAGCCACTTCGTACACGCCTCTTTCGCTACAGCTGTCAGGAGAGGCTACAACCTTGGCCCCTGGACAGGCTGGATACAGCGACCAACGCATGAGAGAAATGGACAGCGCTGTTATCCTTTCACAGCACAACGGATACAAGATGATGCACAGCAAGAGAATTCAAGAAGAGAACAACTGAAATGGTTGTACATGAGGACTACAATTTTGGGCCCACGTGGCACACCGGACTCTTTTACGAGTTTGGGGTACAAGCTTCATGACCGCCCACAAGGGACACAGTTGTACAAACAATCTGCATTCTGGCGAACAGTTTCTTTGCAGGCGAGTTTTACATCATCCCGAACTACAAGGTCACGACTGTACAATACATTTTAGAGATACAGTTGAAATACTGTGCTCTAAGGAGGCGTGTTAAGAGACACATGCCCTTGGGTACATGTCACGATAGTACAGCTTGCACATTGCCGTGGCTGTACACGCCTTGAGCCTTCTACAATTGCCAGAGGAGAGAAACAGTTTGCTACAGCCGCGCTGATACACGACACAGGTCCTCCACACTAGGTTCACAGGTTATATCAAGTTTAGCAAGTTTAGGTGTATATATATATATATATGTATACATATTCTTGTTGCCCCTGTTGGTTTTAAAAGGAGCCTATCCCTGCTGCACCTGTTTTTTTTTCAAACTGTTTCCGGGCGACGTAAGCAAATGGAGGTATTTCAATACTGGATCTCGATATTGGCTCCAGCCTCCTTTTGTCCTTTCAGGGTTCCGACTTACGTTGGACACGTGTGTCCTTTGTGTTTCTGGCTGCCTTGTCCCAAGAAGGGTGGGGTGGGGGGTTCCCTACGGCCCAAGGCCGACCCCCTTGTAAGTACCTACCACCCTTGCTAATTCGGTTTGTCTTCTTTGAATGGCTGAATCAGACTTGGGTGGGTTTGACACCTTTCCCTGCTGCGAGCCCACAGCCTCCACGACTGCCAGGATACACGGAAGGCAAGAAAGTGGCTGTTGATACTGTGGATGGTGGCGAAAGCCATTTCGCACCACCCAAGAAACGATTTTATTCCCAGCAACGAACAATGGTTTCCCATCACTTCAAAGTGCCTTGTAACCACTGTTTTAATTGTCGCTATGGTTTTGCCACCAAATCTCCCGAACTACACGTTCCGAGAGCTGAGCCAAATGGTCTCAAGTCTCATTCCCGGGTTCTGGTGTATGTTGAGTTTGCTGGCCACAAAAGTTGTGGCTTTTCTTGGCCAAACACGGACGCTTTGGGACACGTATGGTCTCAAATCCGGACTGCGTGTTTGTCCATGGGGTCGCTTGTAACGCATGGGTGCAAACTTCAGTACATTGGCACAGACGGTTCTGATCGCCCTATGGCGATCAGCCTTATGGTCCCTCTTAAACAAACTCGATCGTTATACAAGGAGTTTCGACATAGGATTCCATCAATCACGGAACGTTCTTCCCTGCCCACGCCCTTTTGTGTTGATACAGCGAGCTCAGTTTCTCATTCTGGTCCTGAACTTCACTGCATGCAAGCTTGCATGTTTGTGCGACGGAACAGCTCAGTCACCACCATTTCTGCAAATGCCTCGCTGCAACCCTGGTGTTGAGTCCAAAGTTGAACTACAAAAAGAGTCGGTTCATGCTGGTTGCACGTGGGGATCAATGGTTTTGCCCACAACATCCTAGGTTTCACCGGGACAGTGGTTGGCGATTTTGGTTGCTTTCAGGCGCTTCGCGTGCCTGGCAGTTGCAACCCTGAGGTTCTCCAAAGGAAATTGCACGCGACCTATTTCCAACCAGTTCAATTTTGCTGAAGGTTGGGAATTGAAGGTTCTTGGATCAGTTTTAGCCCACTAAGAGCCTGCTTGTCCTTGAGAGAAGTGCACAGAAAATGCCTGCGTTCCCCGGAACCCCCCCAAAAAAATAACAAAACGCACAGAAGGACAAACAAAACAAAGCAGGCCGGGAAAATCCCCTCCAAGAGTCGGTTTCCCAGTTCGCTTGTTCGACCTTCGCGATTCCGCGGGGCTGCGGGTTGTGTGACCGCCAGGCAATGGCTCGTCGCTCTCCCCTGATCTTGGTCCTGGCGCGGTTGCGGGGGGGGGGGGGGGAGGGGTCTGAGAGACGGGTTGGCCTTGCTGGCTTTTGGCCCCCGTCCAAGTCCCGAATCGTTTCCTCAAGCATGAAGAGTCCTGACCTCATTTGGGACCTTCCTTCCTGGACCACATTTGGATGCAAAACTAAGCAACTTCAAGGGGGGGGGGTGCTGAAACAAAGACACCCGGTTCCGAGATTGCATGCATCGCGACTGTGGCAAATTCGCATGTCCAGCGCCTCGGACCCCTCCGAGGTTCTCTACTTGATTCCATTTACCTGAATACTATGAGGGGTTTCCTCCTATCATGACGGTGGGTTTAAAGTAGTCCACGACCCCCCCGCTAGGCCGTGGGCCTTTCCTGTGGCCAGATGCCACAGGGCCTGTAGGTTCTCATCCGCTTTGCAAGTTCTTTCGTGCGGAAACGCATCCGAAAAAGACTTTCCCCATTCTCTTCAGATATCTTCAAAACCTGTGCGAATCTGGGAAGAGAACTATGGATGAAGAGAATGGGATTCAAATCACCCTGACAGTTGGAACCCATTCCATTTGGTTTATGCGGGAAGCCGACAAACAGCTCGAGCCCCATCCGCGCAAGGCCGGCGCCCTGCTCCTCTGCCAGCTGAGCAACGTCTTCATCCCGGCGCCCCAGGTGACCGCCCGCACGGAACTGCAGCAGGCGGGTGGTTTAGGGCGGGCTGGGGGGTGGGTGTTGGGTTGGCGTCTGGGTGTTTCGTTCGGGTTTCCGAGGATCGGTTATCAGTTTGGGGCTGAAGCGTGTCCGGAAATGGGCAAGTGCATGTTGGATGGGTTTTTTGTAGCTGGAAACTATGAACGCCACACATGGCAGAGGCCCGTAGGGACACCATCCATTCTTGAGGTTCCCCTATTTTGAGACAATCCGGTTTTGGAAGACTACTTTCCTTCTAAAACCCCGCTTGTCCGCCCCCCTGAAAACTGAAAAGGGCTGCCCCTCTGGAAGCCCCAAACACAAAGCACACTCATCATCATTTTCTTTTGGCGAGCACCTTGAGTTTTGCCAACAAAGCTCCTGTTTTTGCAGCCAACTTCGGGTTTTTGCAGCTAAACCCCTGGTTTTTCCCCACCAAACCCTTCTTTTTGCAAGGCGCAGGGCGCCGCAGTGGCCGCGGGCCTGGCCGCTGCCACCTCGCTGCCAGAGCAGGCCTGGGCAGTGCGGGCGGCCAGCGAGGACGACGAGGCACCCGGGTCGCCTTTCGACTGAGGGTGCTGACACATAGACTCCATGCAGGCCCATTATGTTTCCTTTTGGGCAGTTTACAGATTTCCCTCGCCAATATTGATACTGGGACAAGGGCTCGTTAGACTTCTCATTTTGCATGCCCTTGTTTCAACATTGCCACTAGTACACGATTAGAACCAAGCAGAAATCTGCGGGATCCATCTGTTTTCAGCCAAACTGAACTTTGATTTGGTCCTCTTTGGTGGGGTTTCAAGGGAAGCCACAGAGAAACAACCATTTTGCGGCTTTGCCGATTTAAAGACCTTAGCCCATTTGCCCTAGTCCAACACCCGGCTTGAATGTGAGAAGTCGTGCTCTCGTCGGATATTGGGGGCCAGTTTCTGTGAGTTCCAAGGGAGATCTCCTTCTTTCAGGTGATATTCCCACAGAGCGAGCCAGGGCACTCCCCCAGATAAAGTCAGGTGTGAAGGGGTGAACCACCTTTGGTCGTGTGAGTTCCCGAAGTCGAGGGCTTCGACCTCCGCATCGTGGCGGTGCTGGCGTTGCCTTTGGGCGCCGTGGGCTGGGCGCTCTTCAACGCCGCTCGGAGTGGAGTGGAGCGGTTTTGGGAGCGATGGACGGGGTCGCGTCGGGTTTAAGGGGGTTGGTTTTGGGTTGTAGGTTTTTTGGAGTGGCATCAAGGCTTGGTTCCAAGGAAGCACAATCAAGTTCAGGGCTTCAGAAGTGAGCCGTGGCAACTTCTTGGATGGTAGTCTCTGCTCGATTCTCAAAACTTGAAGGGACCTGTTGGTGAAATCAACCTGAGCAGCGCCCAAAGCCAAACCCAAAGCCAAACAGTCGGATCGCCAGTTGTTTTGTTTGATACCCTCCCACCCTTGTCACATGGAACCTGATGTTCGGGACCCTCTAAAACGAAAATGGTCTCCCACCAGGACCCCCTTTTTCGTCAGGTTCCAGCAGCTATAGGTAGGGGATGTGGGAATGAACCCAAGGAGACCACCAGTTGGATGGTTTTTCTGTGGGGTCATTCCCTGAGCACCAGCTAGAGTTAATTCGTGGGGGAGTATGTCCCTGCTCAGACTGCCGTTGCGGCCGTGTTCGCAGGTCTGGCGAGTGGCCTTCCGACAAGTCGTCCGCATCGGGGAGAGCGCCAAGGCGTGCGTCGACACCCTGAGTCGAGGCTTCAATGCGCCTTTGCGGTTGGTGTTTTTCCCCACTTTGTTATTAGTTTATTTTTGTGGGGGTGGGTGGGTGGGTGGGTGGGTGGGTGGGTGGGTGGGTGGGTGGGTGGGTGGGTGGGTGGGTGGGTGGGTGGGTGGGTGGGTGGGTGGGTGGGTTCTGTTCCTTGTTTGTGGGGGCCGGTTTTGTTTTTCTTGGCCAGTTTTTGTTTTTGTTTTGGAGGTTCCGTTCATTGGGCATAAAACAGCTTTTTGGACTATCATAGCAAGCTTTGGCAGGTACGGGCCACGTTTTGGGGTGTGTCTTGAGGGAACCTTGGGCTGCTTTTACATGGAACGAAAGGGAAGCCACTGGTTTGGGGGTTTCCTCCATCATTTACAAACAAGCTTGTTTTGGATTTGAGGGGGGGGGGCAAACTCCTTTTAACCTTTGGCCCCATCCAAACTTTTTGGTTGAGTTGTTTCTTAGCGAAGCCAACAGCCAAAATGAGACAAACCCGTAATATCCCCCGCGAATCCAGGGCTTTCGTTTCAGAAATTTCATAGAAACCAGCGAGCCATGAATGTCCACAGGAACTTGGCCAACCCACCAAAGCAATAACTATGTTCTGCAGATTTTCCTGCTAGCTCGTAGCGTGTTTATCCAACGTTCCTTTCCTTGCGTGTGCATTTGTGCATGTTTTTGCCGATGCATTGCACAGTACATTTGAGCGACTAAGGCCAAACACTTGTGTGGGCACAATGTATCGTGTATGATCTGGAAAATGCGGGATAGTATGTGCCGAGGCGTTTAGCCAGCTTAAAAAAAGGTGGGGGGAACACCCTTTTGATTCCGTAATCCGGGGCCAGCATCAGCTATGAAATTTCGAGAATGAATTCCGTGTTTAGATTCATTCCCATGGCAAAGCCCTGAACCGACTTCTGCTTTTGGGATTGGGTCTAGACGGGTGGCCAAATTCTCAGTGCCCATGCTTTCTCGATCCCATTTGTCAACGAGGATAGTGCAACGTCCGACGAGTGACAGTGAGGCCACGTTTGACCATGCAGTTGTTTTCGAGTGACAAGTGGGCCGCGTTTTCTCGAAGGAACTCTTGACGGGGCCACCACCCCCCATCCAACTGCCGAACCTGCCTTTGCCAGGGCAACGCTCTGTGAGTGCCCGCCTCCAGCAGTTTTTGAACGTCTTGGCAGCTGCCAAAACGACGAAAAGAGAAGCGAGCGAATCGCGGGCCAGGAGTTTGGCGATTGCCACCAAATGTTTGGGAGCAATTCGAATAAGTTTTCAACAGAAAGAAGCACTTTTTGTTCCTTATATATATCTATATATACACGGGACTTCCCCCCCACCGGGACCCCCCCCCAAGCCAAAAAAAGCACAAAAACAGGTGGAACATCTGAAAAGTCAAAGAACAACAGGGTCTTCTGGAAAAGGAACAAACACCGAGATCTTATGGAAGAGGAAAACACCAAGAACTTCTGGAAGAAGGGCCCCAAACCAGAAAAAAAAGAATCATAAAAGGAAAGCAGAAAAACCAAAAACCAGGGTCCTCATGAAGAAGGGCCCCAAGACAGAAAATTCAGAAAAAAGAAACAGAAACACCAGAAAAAAAACCCGAAGAAACAGACAAACAAGAAAAAAGAAAACAGCAAACAGCAAAACAAAAAATCAGGGTCCTCCAGAAGAAGGGTGACCTCCAACATCTGTTTCCTAGACTTTTTTCCCCCGTTTTTTCCCGAAAGCATCGCGAAGGGTTCTTTGGAAAAAAACGGTTGCCGGCTACACAGCCTGACTTGGGCAGCCTAGCTTACGCAGCGGGACTTACCCAAACTGACTTACGCAGCCTGACCTACGCAGCCTGACTCACGCAGCCTGACTTACGCAGCCTGACTTACGCAGCCTGACTTACGCGGCCTGTACTTATGCAGTCTGACTTACGCAGCCTGACTTACGCAGCCTGACTTCGCAGCCTGACTTACGCAGCCTGACTTACGCAGCCTGACTTACGCAGTCTGACTTACGCAGCCTGACTTACGCAGCCTGACTTACGCAGCCTAGCTTACCCAGCCCAAGCTCGCAGCCCTTAAAATCTATCTTCTTTCTTAGCCGGGGGCAGGTCTGGCGGGCGCTGGCGGGATGAACCCTCTGCGGGGATCAGCGCTCTCGCTGTGGCGCCGTGCAAATCTTCTGCGTCGCCGACGAACCGTCTGCGCGGATCGTGCGTGTCGGATCGCTCTCGTGTGGCGCCGTGCGAATTTGCAGGCTGCCGACGAACCCTCTGCGGGGATCGTGCGTGTCGGAGCGCTCTCGCTGTGGCGCCGTGCGAATTTGCACGCTGGCCGACGAACCCTCTGCGGGGATCGTGCGTGTCGGATCGCTCTCGCTGTGGCGCCGTGCGGATTTGCACGCTGGCCGACGAACCCTTTGCGGGGATCGTGCGTGTCGGATCGCTGTCGCTGTGGCGCCGTGCGAACTTTCTACGTCGCCGACGAACTCGTGCGTTTCGGAGCTCTCGCTGTGGCGCCGTGAGAATTTTCTACGTCGCCGACGAGCCCTCTTCGGAGAGTATGCGCGTCGCATCGCTCTCGTTGTGGCGCCGTGCGAATTTGCACGCTGGCCGACGAACCTTCTGCGGGGATCGTGCGTGTCGGATCGCTCTCGCTGTGGTGCCGTGCGAATTTGCGTCGGCCAGCGTGCAAATTCGCACGGCGCCACAGTGAGAGCGATCCGCGTGCAAATTTTCACGGCGCCGCAGCGAGAGCGATCCGACACGCACCATCCCCGCAGAGGGTTCGTCGGCCAGCGTGCAAATTCGCACAGCGCCACAGCGAGAGCGATCCGACACGCACGGCGCCACAGCGAGAGCGATCCGACACGCACGATCCCCGCAGAAGGTGCGTCGGCCAGCGTGCAATTCGCACGGCGCCGCAGCGAGAGCGATCCAACGCGCATAATCTCCGCAGAGGGTTCGTCGGCGACGTAGAAAACTCGCACGGCGCCACAGTGAGAGCGCTCCGACAAGCGCGATCCCCGCAGAGTGTTCGTCGGCGACGTAGAAAGTTTGCACGGCGCCACAGCGAGAGCGCTCTGACACGCACGATCCCCGCAAAGGGTTCGCCGGCCAGCGTGCAAATTCGCACGGCGCCACAGCGAGCGCGATCCGACACGCACGATCCCCGCAGAGGGTTCGTCGGCGACGTAGAAAGTTCGCACGGTGCCACAGCGAGAGCGCTCCGACGCGCACGATCCCCGCAGAGGGTTCGTCGGCCAGCGTGCAAATTCGCACGGCGCCGCAGCGAGAGCGCTCCGACACGCACGATCCCCGCAGAGGGTTCATCTCGCCAGCGCCCGCCAGACCCACCCCTGGCCAGGAAAGAAGATAGATTTTAAAGGCTGCGAGCTTGGGCTGGGCAAGCTAGGCTGCGTAAGTCAGGCTGCGTAAGTCAGGCTGCGTAAGTCAGGCTGCGTAAGTCAGGCTGCGAAGTCAGGCTGCGTAAGTCAGGCTGCGTAAGTCAGACTGCATAAGTCAGGCCGCGTAAGTCAGGCTGCGTAAATCAGGCTGCGTAAGTCAGGCTGCGTGAGTCAGGCTGCGTAGGAGCTGCGTAAGTCATTTGACAAGCCCGCTGCGTAAGCTAGGCTGCTTAAGTCAGGCTGTGTAGTCGGCAACCGTTTTTTTTAAAGATCCCTTTGCGATGCTTTCGGGAAAATGGAGAAAGAGAAAGAAACAGAAAGAGAGAGAGGGAGAGAGAGAGAGAGAGAGAGAGAGAGAGAGAAAGGAAGAGAGGAAGAGAGAAAGAGAGAAAGGAAGAAAGAAATACAGAGAGAAAGAGAGGGAGAGAGAGAGAGAGAGAGAGAAAGAAAGAAAGAAAGAAAGAAAGAAAGAAAGAAAGAAAGAAAGAAAAAAAGAAAGAAAGAAAAAAAAAGAAAGAAAGAAAGAAAGAAAGCAAGAAAGAAAGAAGAAAGAAAGAAAGAAAGAGAGAGAGAAAGAGAGAAAGAGAGAAAGAGAGAACGAGAGAAAGAGAGAAAGAGAGAAAGAGAGAAAGAGAGAAAGAGAGAGAAAGAAAGAAAGAAAGAAAGAAAGAAAGAAAGAAAGAAAGAAAGAAAGAAAGAAAGAAAGAAAGAAAGAAAGAAAGAAAGAAAGAAAGAAAAAAAGAAAAAAAGAAAGAAAGAAAGAGAGAGAGAGAGAAGAGAGAAAGAGAGAAAGAGAGAAAGAGAGAAAGAGAGAAAGAGAGAAAGAGAGAAAGAGAGAAAGAGAGAAAGAGAGAGAGAAAGAGAGAAAGAAAGAAAGAAAGTGAGAGAGAAAGAGAGAAAGAGAGAAAGAGAGAAAGAGAGAAGGAGACAAAGAGAGAAAGAGAGAAAGAGAGAAAGAGAGAAAGAAAGAAAGAAAGAAAGAAAGAAAGAAAGAAAGAGAGAGAGAGAGAGAGAAAGGGAGAAAGAGAGAAAGAGAGAAAGAGAGAAAGAGAGAAAGGGAGAAAGAAAGAGAGAAAGAGAGAAAGGGAGAAAGGGAGAAAGAGAGAAAGAGAGAAAGAGAGAAAGGGAGAAAGAGTGAGAGAGAAGCAGTGCATATATATATATATAACATCATAGATATACCCCAACATTATTGCATCATCTTTCTCATACACGCTTGCGGGATAATCGGTGTCTAGTTTTTTCTCCCCGATCGTTTTTCCTGTTTTTTTCTGGGTTGGGGCCCTGCTTTACTGGATGATTTTTCTGGATATTCTGGTTTGGGGCCGTTCTTCATGAGGACCCTTGTTATTGCTTTTGTTGTTTGTTTGAAGGGATAGAGCTGAACATGCTTCTACACCACCCCCCCACCCAGTATCCCACCAGAGCAGCTCTCCAGTGGATCCCGCCAAGTATGAGCGGCTCGCCAGTGGATCCCGCCGAGTATGCTGAGTATCCCAGAGTAGCTCGCTAGTGGATCCCGCCAAGCATCCCGCCAGAGTAGCTGGCCAGTGGATCCCGCCGAGTATCCTGCGGATTATCCAGAGTCCGCCGAGACCAGCCCACCAGTGGCTCCTGGAAAGGGGTGGGTGGTGGGGGTGTGGGGGTGGGGCAGGGTGGGGCGGGGTGGGGTGGGGTGGGGCAGGGTTGGGGGTCAGGGTGCCGCAGGGTTTTCCATCGGGACCGTTAAAAGGCGACACGTGGACAGGCTCATGATGCAGCTTTTGTCAGGGTCATTGCAAAGATGCAAATAGGGCTCCTTATGCAGCTTTTTGCGCACATGCTAAAGTTCTTGTTTAAGCTCTGTATACTCCTCAAAATGCTGCTGAAGCTCCGTTGTGCAGCTCCTGGTAAAGCTCCGAAAAAAGCTTTCCTCCTGAAAAACAAACGCTCCCAAGACCAAATTGGATTCCAATTGGTTTTTTTCAGTGTTGTCAGGAAGAAAGTCTTTTCGGATTTCTCTGTTGACTGATGTGATGTGAAACTAAGATTGACTAGGAGAACATACACAGAATTCAATAAGGTATGACTTTCCGTTAGACTTCTATCTTCAGTAGAAACTAAGTAAATCGCCCTGTCCATGATTAGAACTTAGTAACGGACTAGTACAAAAATGTTTGCTGTATCAATTAGAATTCAAATTTAAATCCTTGTTACATAAGGTTCAAATCAACATCTAAGTAGAACTGTAAAAATTAGAATTGAAGAACAACGCATGGGCAGTTGAATGTCTCTTCTTCTAATTGAGGATTAACGTAGGAAGTACTTTCCAAATCGGATTTTAATCGTCAAAGTTAACTGCAGGCTGACAAGCGCGTGGAAAGGTAATGGACAGTAGTGGAGGAGACTTGAAAACGTGGAGTTTTCAAATATGGAAGATGTGCAAAGGAGGAAAAGCGGATCATGCGTGGGGTGTGAGCATACACACACACATATTTATGTATATATATATATATATAGCAAGTGCGTGGGTCCTAGGGGTGGGGGGGTCCTGGGGGGTGGGGGGTAGCATATATTTATACAGAACAAGAACGCGTACGAACCCATGTTTTTGTCCCTTGGCGTGGTTTTTTGTTGTTTTTCCTTTTGTGCAAAGGCCTAACACCCCGGAACGCGAGGCCGACAGTCGAGCTCCTTTGCACTCAGCTTACTTGTTTTTCTTCGCCTTCCCGCCTCCCATCCATCCAGGTTGTGTTAATTCTTGGGG